TCCCATTGCCACAGTGCTTGTCAAAATGAGTTCTGATTAATCTCCTTTGTCATTGTGTCCTTTACCATTCCCTATCACTCCTCCCTGAGAGAGATTTCACCCTGGTTCATAAGGAAAAGGGGATGGCATATTCCCTTAGCTACTTCCTGCTGTATAGGGACGCTGTAGGTTTCAGGGTGAAGATCTTCTCTCACTACTCTAAAGGGCCCCTTTGGCAATAGGAAACACGTAGACTATTGTGGAGTTTGATTTTTGAATTTAGATGCACTGTTATCAATTGTGCTTAGCCGTACATGTTCATATCCTTGAAGATGCATCTATGTTCTAATTATTAATGAACGTTTGTAGCTGTTCCTTCTCATTTTGGAGTTGTGCCCGTGAAGTCCCTAGAATTTTAACTCTGTGTCGTCAAGGTAGTGTTCCAGAGACGAGGAGGATGGCACAGGGAAGGGCAGGCTGTTCATAGTGTTGCTATATGAGTCATTCTCAACTTGAGGGCCTCTAACAGCTACTTAGAGGAAGTAGCTTTTCCCTACTTGCATTTCAAATGCCTTCCAACCTACCGGGCTCACCTTCCAGCGCTGTCTCTGACAACGCTAGTCACAAGGTTTTCACTAGCCGATTTTATTTTTTTCAGGAGTCGATCTTTCTTCCTTGTCTATCTTGGTCCAGAAGCTCCGCTGAAACCTGCCTACCATCGGTGATCCTGCCAATATTTTAAATACTCAGAGAGAAAGGATACAACCCTAGCACATACATTTCCTGATTTTAGACCACGCAGTGCTTTCTTGTCTGTTCAGACAACTGCTACTTGATCTATGTATGGGCTTTCCATGAGCTTACTTGTGTTCTGGGATTTCCATTCTTCTCAGGGTTAGCCATAATCTGTTATGATTCACATAATCAAATACCTTTGTAGAGTCAATAAAAACACAAACATTGGCCATAGCAAAAAAAAAAAAAAAAAAAGTACATGCGGCATAGCTTCCCCTCATCACAGCAACACCCTACAGTCTACCCCAGAAAAACAAACTGACAATTTTGTCTTGATACCTGGTTTGTTTTTACATTGCAGACTCTACCCATTGATTTTCTCTGTCTTTTTTCTAAGCTAAGAAACTATTTCCCCCCAAAGCTTTCACAGCTAATCCACTCTTTTCTTACATATTGATTTTGATTGCTTATTTACTCTATTACTTGACCAATCCATCCCCGGAGAGCTGACTTCCGGTTCACTGGTGATGAAGAGGCTCTGAGGTCTTCTGACATGCCATTCGTGTCTCCTCTTTGAGCCCGTTTCTTCAGGGCTTCCAGGCAAGTCCTACTGTCTCCTCTCCTTCAGGCAGCAGTGAAGTGTACAGAAGCATGAAATGCTGAGGAGGATGCTTCCTCCCTGCAAGAATTATTGCCTCTCTGAAGCCAATAACTTACTTTGCTGGAAAATCTTCCTTTCCTATATTCTGTAGAGCAGCTTTATTGGGACATAATTTCTATACGTAATGTTTACCCAAGTAGGATGTGCAGTTCACTGGGTTTAGTGTGTTCACAGAGCTGTGCAACCAGCAGCACTATATATTTTAGGATCTTTTTCAACACCCCAAAAAGAAGCCCTGTACCAATCAGCAGTCACTGCCCATTCCCCACTCCAACCCTAGGCAGCCACTTTCTGTCTCTACAGATTTACATTTTCTGAACATTTCATAGAGTGAAATCAAGCAATATGTGGTCTTTTGAATCTAGCTTCTTTTGTTTAGCATAATTTTGATCGCTTTAGTACTTTACTTATTTAGTTTTTTATTGTAAGTTGAGTGCAAATGTACAGAGTAGATTGATATTCCATTCCAGCATTTATAGAATTTTTTTTATGACCCTGTAACAATTCCCACATTGTAACAGCACTCTTCCCACATTCTCTCTATGATTCTCATTTCCATTTTTCCTTCTGTAATCTCCTTTCCTGCCTTCTCAGCTTTATTTCTGGGCAGATTCTGCCCTTTGCTCTTGTGTGGTTGATTGCTCCAAGGATTGAGTACCTCCTTTGGTGTTACTGTTCACCTCATAGTACCTGTCTGCGTTTGTCTGAAAGTTGTGTCACAGGAGTGAGTTCATGTCTAGGCACAGAGTGTGGCTAAGAGTCATAGTCTTGGGGGTTCCACCAGGATGGTGGGACAACAAAGGTTGCTCTAATTGACAGTCACGTAACCTCTCTGCATCTCAAAATATTCACCTGTAAAATGGAAATTCTTTAAAGACCAAAAGAGAGATTGTCTGTAACTGTGCTCTGTAAGTTGTAAATGGCTGTTGATGATGTTGGTGATAGTGGCAATGGTGGTGGTGATGGTGGTGGTGGTGATAGTGGCAGTGGTGGTGATGGTGGTGATAGTTGCAGTGGTGGTGGTGCTGGTGGTGGTGGTGGTGATAATTATGGTGGTGATCGTGATGGTGGGGGTGGTGGTGGGGTGGTGATGGTGGTGGTGGTGAGGATGGTGATGATGGTAGTGGTGGTGAGGATGGTGGGGGTTGGCGGTTGCAGCGGTAGTCATGGTGGCAGTAGTAGTGGTGGTGGCATTGGGAATGGTCGGGTGGTGGTGATGATGGTGGTGGTGGTGGTGGTGATGGTGATGACGGTAACGGTGGTGAGGATGGGGGTGGCAGTTGCGGCAGTAGTCATGGTGGCAGCGGCAGTGGTGGTGGCATTGGAGATGGTAGGGTGTTGGGGTGGTAGTGGTGGGAATGGTGGTGGTGGGTGGGGATGATGGTGGGGATGGGGGTGGCGGTGGTGGTGATGATGATGGTGGTGGTGGTGATAGTGGTTGGGAGATGGTGGGGGGATGGTGGTGGTGATGATGGTAGCAGTGGTGGGTGTGAGGTGGGGGAGGTGGCGGGGTGGCGGTGGTGGTGGTGATTCAAAAAAAGAACCGCTCAGGGCTGGGACTCTGAAGGTCATCTTGACCACTTCCCTAGTGCTAGAATATTTCTCCCATATTCCTACAAAGTAGACGCTTAACCTAAACTCCTCTCATGACAGGGAGTGTGCTGTGTCCAGTGAGGTTATTCTTTGCTTATGAGAACATTTTTTTCTCCTGTGTTGAAAATCATAAATGTTATATCAGCTATACCAGGCAGTATAAGAGGCACTTTCTACACTGTATCTTAACTGATCTTTCAAATACCCAATGAGGTAAATACATCCTCATTTAACAGGTGGAGAAACAGAATTAGCCGGTTAAGCAGCTTGTTTAGGGTCCGACAGCTGGTAAAGGTTTAGGCAGGATTTGACCCTAGGTCCAGCTGATTCAAAGCCCATGCCCATAACCTCTGAATGGTTTGTAGTCCTCCCCATAAATTCCCAGGCAGGTCTCTAATTTCAGTCCCTGCAAATACGTGGGGCAGGGTTTGCCCTTCTCGTCCACACTGGCCCTTGACCACCAGCCTTTACCAGACGTTCACCTCACCAATGTTGCTGTGCAGAAGACATCTCCCGACTACCATCCAGAGAAGGTGAGGAAGCTGGAACTGGATTCATTGTCAGTGGGAAGAATGGACATCAATTCTGAAAGGGAGGTAGACAGGGAGAGGGGGAAAGCCAGGCAGGTGAGTTCTTTGAGCACTGAGGGGAATTCTGAGGGGCAATGAGAGAGTGGAGTTGAGGTACATACAGAATGTCTCTGAACTCTAAAACTTTCAGCCATGTTCTAAGGATGTATAACCTTTCTTTGATTTTTTTTGTTTTAAGAGACAAAAGAAAAGATGTAAATTGTCTTTCAGTTATATTTAAGAGCCCTAGTTTCTCAGTGATTAAAGCATTAAACTACTAATCAACAGTTGAAACCTTTAGCTTCTCGGCAAGAGAAAGCTGTAATTATCAGTTGTCTGTTGTCTGTAAAGATTGTTGTTGAAACTGTGTGCCATTGAGAGGGAACCAATGCATACCTGACTCTTCTGGGGCTGGAGTGGGAGTGGGACAGAGGGGTGGCAAGGAGCCCAGAACCAGCCTCTCACGGACTTATTGTTCACTAGTGAGGCCAGGCCCACCTTCCACATTATCAGGGCCCAGGGCAGGGCTACAAATGGAGACTTACATATTGTTGTTGTTAGTTACTTTCGAGTCAAATATGACTCGTAACAACCCTGTGAACAAAAGATCTGAACCCTGTTTTATCCTGTGCCTTCCCGACACACAAGAGCCCATTGCAGCAGTCATCATTTTCATAGGATTATCAAAGCCCTGTTATTTAGGAAGTAAATGGCCTATTCTACTTCCTAGTCTGTATTAATCAGGGAGTTCTACCAAAACCTGTCCACCCACTGTAACCCTTATGGCATTTGACACACCAGTGCCACAGCTTTCAGTATCACATAAACTCCAAGTTATCTCTGTACAGCAAACTGACAAACACGTGCTGTACCACTTATAATAATATTCTCCCAAAACACAACACCAGGCCTGAAGAGACTTACATATAGTACATGTAAATATTTAAAAGTTGTAAATCAGACTCTTCTCCTACCTTGACAAAGACACTTATAACAGTTTTCAAGGCCAACTTAGAACTTCAAGTTTAAGGCCAGAAGAGGTGGCACAGAACTGGTCTGCAGCTCACCCACATCACCTTGTTTCCCAGTTCCAGCTCCATACCATACAATGAGGGGCCTTGTGCAGACCCTTCCCCTATACCAGCCACTCTGTGGCCATGAACAGCGCATCCAGGCCTCAAGGATCCAGGCCTCAGGAAGAAGACCCAGGGAGGAGGCCTGAAAGCCCTTTTGGGCAGATATTTCCAGGGTGCCTAGCCCTGATCTTAAAGCAAAGACACAAGCTCTGAGTGACACTTTTCTTGGGACCGGTCCCATGAGTAGGGTTTATAGTGCCTTCTGATTGCAAGTTCCAGCTGGGCAGCTTGCCCAAGTCCAAAGGCTTACTGACAACATTGGTTTTGAGTCTCCTGACAGGCTGAATCCTCATTAATCAAGGTCCCCCTCTCTCCACCTGGCCGGCCTGGCCTCAGGGATGCAAATGGATGCTCCAGCACTTCCGACAGTACCTGGCGTCCAAGCACGGGCCCCAGGCGGTGGAGACACTCTTCAGCGACATGGACAATATCTTTGTCAAGAGCCTGCAAAGCGTGCAGAAGGTGATCATCAGCGACAAGCACTGCTTCGAGCTTTATGGATACGACATCCTCATTGACCAGGACCTCAAGCCGTAAGTGGCCAGGCCCCCGGGTGGGCCATAAGTCAAAGGGGCATGCTTTTCTTGCTTGGCTCCCAGCCTCTCTAGGTTTGGGTCCCAGTTTTGCTCTTCTCTACTTTTGACACCTGGCATGCACTTTCTTGCTCTGTGCCTCGGTTTGCTCATCTGTAGAATGGGGTGGTAAAGTACTTATACTTCAGAGGAGTGTTATGAAGAGCAAATGAGATTCTGCTTACAGAGCCCTGAGCATGGCGCCTGGCCTACGAGGCCTTTCCCGAACTTCTGTCAAGTCAGGGATTCCCCACCCCCACCCCGACGCCAGCAAGGGTCTGTCCCCCTGCATGTCTTGGTGCTTCAAGGCTGTAAAGTGTGACATAAGGGAATATTATTCCCACATCGATCCTTGCCAAGAATGTGGTGCATTCTCCCAGTGCCCCTGAGAAGATCCGGCTAACCGAGAACCGAGAGGCCCAAGCTAACCGGAACCATAGTGATGGTCCTCACATGACACAACAGGACATAGAAGCCCAGTGGGTATGTGGGGTGGGAAGCTTGAGGTCACACAGAAAGTCATGGACAGAGCCAGGTCCAGAGCCAGCGTTTCTGAGCTGAGGTACTCCGCCCTACACTGGTGGTCCCAGAACCAGCTTCCTACCCCGTCACCTTCTTAAGGAGCTTTATAAGCTGGGAGTGGGTACCCTAGAGCTTGCTCAGCCCTGGTAAAAGGCAAGAAGAATTCCAGCACCAGTGCACTTGTCTCCTTTGCTCCAGCAGCAAGAGACGGCTGAGGCATATTAGAGTGGCCGCTGGTAGAGGAACAGGCCAGCAGACTGTGAGAAGCTGGTCTGAGGGCTCTGATCTCCCACTGACCTGCTGTGGGAGCCTCAGCAAGTCCTGTCCTGTTCTGTGACCCAGGGTCCTGTCTGTGACGTGAGGGGTCACATAAAACCAGAAGTTGCAAGCTGGAGGCCCTTGGGCTGCCTTTGACCTTGAGTTTGGCACTCTATGTTCTTCTGTTTTTAATCACATGCCTTCACAAACTCTGCAAATTGGAAGATGTTCACACAACACTTCTGAATTTTGGATCTTCTGTGACAATCAGACAGTCTTGTATTTCTAGAGGGAGCTCTGGTGGCCTAGTAAGTAGGTAAGGAGTTGCACTGCCAACTGAAAGGCAGGTGGTTCAAATCCTTAAGCTGCTCTGCAGGAGAAAGAGGAGTAATCTCTTTCCATGCAGTTTACAACCTCTGAAATCCCACTGGAGGGTCAGTCATGAGACTCAATGGCAATGAATTGCAGTTGTATTTCTGTGCTTAGACTCCACAGGTGGCATGTTGTTATTCTCAGGTGCCATTGAACAGGTTCTGACTCATATTAACCCTGTGAACAAACAGACTGAAACACTGTCTGGCCCTGCATCATGTTGTTAGCTGTGGGATGCCCTTTCCAGTTAGCCACAGTCTTCACTCTTCCCTATGGTGTCCCCAGCCTCTGACATGCAGATCTACAGATTCCATCTGTAGGTGAGCTCTCACTTTAGAGCTTCCCTGGCAGTGCAGTGGTTAAAACTCGGCTTCTAACCAAAAGATTGTTGGGTCAAACTCCCTAGCTGCTGCTGCTCAGGAGAAAGACGTGGCAATTGCTTCCCATAGAGATCTGGTCTTGGAGACCCTATGAGGCCACTCTCCACTGCAGTGTGTAGAGTCACTGTGAGTTAGAATCAGCTTGACACCACTGGTTTGGTTTTGGGATTTTGATGGAATGAAGAAGAAAGGGAAGTTTTTCTTGTGTTCACATCTCTCCTGGAAGAGAGGAAGATGCTGACAGAGTATGAGGCCCCCATAACCAATCTTACACCCCTCTCTACTTCTCTAATTAAGTTGCCTGCCTGGCCCCTCTGGGGATTTTACGTTTATGATAATTGTTTTCCAGGAATTTCAGTCACTGAAACCTTTTGTTTTATATTGATTTGTATGTAATCATTCATATACATCATGTTTTATACATGCACTTTGTGTTTTATACAATCATTGGTATATATTACATTATATATTATATCACTAATTATCATTGCTGTGTGCCTATTATCACCCCATTTTTTCAAGCCTCCATTAAACCTTTTTTCAAAAGCAGAAATTTAGTCTTTTGAAGCGTAGGAGGCTAGAAGTTCAAATTCAAGGTGCCAGCCCTGAGGGTTGGCCCACTCTGTCTCTTGTGGAGGAAGGTCCTTGTTTACTTCAGCATCTGCAGGTCAGGCCTTCCTGGAGATCACAGGGTGTCCTTCTCCATCAAGGCACTTCCTCATGCAGGGGCTTGGGTCCAAAAAGACCCCCTTCCACTCAGGCAGATTCTTTCTTCATAGTAGATTCTTTCTTTAAAGTGAAAAAAATGAAGGTAGCAGCCCTGGTTGAAGTAGGAGTCCTCATCCTGTCTCTCAGTGGGATCCCAGGGGCTGAGGGTCTAGGTCACCCTCGGGCTCTCCTCTCCTGCCCTCTGCAGGTGGCTCCTGGAGGTCAATGCATCTCCATCTCTGACAGCCAGCAGCCAGGAGGACTATGAGCTGAAGACCTGCCTTTTGGAAGACACCCTGCACGTGGTGGACATGGAGGCCAGGTGAAAGCGGGCAGCCACCTTCTGCACTCCCAGGGAGAGACAAATTGGGGTCTTGGGACCTGAGCTGGCCCTGTAGGTGGCTGTGATCTGACCCACCATTTTACAGATGGAGAAACGGAGATGTTCACACAGGACTGGGCCCTGGCCTGGAGACTCAACCTGGTCAGCACAGAGCTGAGGTGACTGCAGCTCTGAGACTCAGCCCAGCAGGATTTCCTTGAAAATCCCTAATTTGGGACCATAGGCCAGTCTCTTCATCTGAACCTCAGTTTCTTAATCTGTAAAATGGGAAGCATGTCACTCTCTCAGGTTGTTAAGTTCAGTTAGCAAGATATTGTACCATGAAGCGCTGGGGTCATAGTAAGGGCCCACTGAGGAGTCATTGTTACCACAGTGTGCATAGATTTCATCTTTGAGAAGCTGGCCTCATTGGACATAGGTCTATGGTATCAGGTATGTGCTAGTCAGGACCGGTTTGAATTGTAAATAACAGAAACTCATCTCTGACTGACTTTAGTGAAAGAGAGGAATTTATTGACTCTCATATTGGAAACTGTAGCTTCAGGAATGTCCAGCAGCTCAATCAATCTACATTGGTCAGTTCATCTTTTCTCACTGTCTCACCTTCTGTCTTTTTCTCTGTCTACATTTCTTTCCCCTGTGTTATATTTTTGCCAATTATTCCAGCAAAAGTCTCAAGGCTGATTGTCACTGGTGGAGATTGGGCCACATGCCCATTCCTGACTTAGGCTGACTGACCAGACCTAGGTCCAGTGTTCAATGCGCAGAGTCGTGGGTGGGGTCACCCCACCTGAGAGCCATGGTCTGAAGATGAGACAGGGAGGAAGGGGCACAAATTTCAACTGAAAACCTTGAGGGGTGCTTAGGCTGGAGTGGGAAGATGCTGAGCCAGCAGGAGGCCACTCATGTACTCGTCAAACATTTGAGCCCTCAGGGGTGCCAGGCCCTGTGGACAGAGTACAGAGCATGACAGCTCCAGGCCCTGTCTCTGCAGTGCCCTTGGTCTGGGAGCAGAGCAGGCTTTAAGCCAGAAACGTCCATAGGAACCTGTTACCAGGACAAGTGGGAGCGTTGGGGACAAAACGGAAGACAGCCCTTCTGTGACTTGACGTGGGCATCAGGGAAATGGCCTGTAAATAATTGACAGAGGAATTTGAGTGGGTACGATGAGGGTGGGGGACAGGAGTGGGGGTGGGCCGAGGATCTGGCCCCCTACTCCTTCATGAACTCTCTGTGTACCCCGTCCGTCCAGGCTCACAGGAAGGGAGAAGCGAGTCGGCGGCTTTGACCTCATGTGGAACGACGGTCCTGTCAGCCGAGAGGAGGGGATTCCTGACTTGCCGGGGGTGGGGAACTTTGTGGCCAACACACACCTGGGTATGTGGGGCCAGGCGGGGAGTGGGCACAGGGCATATGTCATGGAGGCGCACGTGTCTAGGAAGCAGCCTGAGTAACCTGAAATCCAGCTGCTGCTTACTAGCTGTGTGATCTTGGGCAAGGTCCTTAACCTCTCTGTGCTTTAATTTCCTCATCTATAAAACAGAGATTGGGCTCTGCCTCAGCACAGGTGTCGCTGGGTGGTGCAAATGGTTAACGGGGTCAGCTTCGAACCAAAAGGTTGGCGATTTAAGTCTACACAGATGTGCCTCAGAGACTGGAAATTCTATAGGGCGCAGTTTCCGTCAGACACAGAAGGGCACGTGGGGTCCCCATGAGTCAGCGCTCACCTAACTGCAACTGGCTTATCGCAGTATATGCTAGAACATGGCCCAGCACACAGTGAAAGTCACTCTTCTAAATCTGGCAGCTGCAAGTCAGAGTGGATTTTAGGAGACTTAAAGGGAAACGGAACCAACAAAACACCCATAACAGGTTAAGAGGAAGCACATCAGGGTTTGACTTTAAATTTGGTTTTAAAGAAGCAAAATTTCCTCTTGATTATAAAAAGAATTCACACTCATTGTAGAATATTTGAAAACTAAGGAACGAAACAGAAAACCTTCCAGACGTAACCATCCTGAACAATCTGGTGTGTTTCCTCCCAGTTTTTTTTTTTTTAAAGCATATATTTTAATTTTTCCTTTACAAAATTGGCATCGGCTTGAGTTTTGTGTTCCATTTTTCCACGTTGCATTTTCCCACATTATTCAATAATATTCAAATCAACCACCGTTCGGGACAGACCTTTTGATCAGACTGGACTCAGTCTTGCATATACATCATCTCATTTAATTTTCTGGTAACTTATATTTTCACTTAATTGTTATGATACACCATCATATCTGAACTGACTCATGTACCTGAACCTCCTGTGGGTTTTCAGAGGCTTTTTCTCCAAAGGCTATCAATCAATAATAGCACGGGTGATTGCCCATCTTTCTCCTGTGGAGTATCTGGTGGATTTGAACCATGTGCCTTTGGGTTGGCAGTGCAACTCCTTACCACTAGACCACCAGAGCCCCCTATTTTACTTTGTTGTTGATTGCCTTTGAGCTGAACACGACTCACAGGGACTCCCTGAACAAAAGGCCTGAAGCCCCTCTACAACCATCGACATTTATCAAAGTTCATAGAGTTTCTGGAGGCATGTTGTTTAGGACGTGGGTACCATTCCTACTGGTCACCAGACGTTACATAACTTGTTAAAGTTCTGCTAAAAGTAATGAGCTGGGAGTTGGACTTAGATTGGTCTCCAAGACTTGAACTCTCGTTTACTGGATTCTTCTTCCCCGTGCCAGAGTTCAAGAAAATGACCATACAACTAACTGCAGGTCACAGCCCACGTCACTGCTGTCGTGGCTGTGAGGGGCTGCTGCATCAGCTCTGACATGTAGTGACTTTATCTAAGAGAGGACATGTGGCCCAGTCCTGTGGCATCTTCACAGATACTATGTTTGGACACTTTGTTGTAGCCTCTGTGTTGTTCTATCTCGTGGAGGTCGTCCCTATTTCACTGACTCTCAGCTTTACCAAGCGTGATGTCCTTCTCTGGGGTTGGTCCTTCCTGATGACCTACCTTCGTGGCTGTATTTTCTCCAAGACAAAGTGTTGGCTTTCCTGTCCACCCATGGTTTATTCGACATTCTTCACCAGCACCACAGTTCGAATGGGTCAATTCTTGGGTGGTCGTCTTCTTTCATTGTCCAGCTTTTGCGTGCATGTGAGGCAACTGGAAATCCTGTGGCCCAGGTCAGGTGCACTTCAGTCATCCAAATGATGTCTTTGCTTTTAGCACTTGAGAGGCATGTTTTGCAATAGTTTGTCTAATGCAGTAGTTAGGTCGTTTGATTTCTGGACTGCTGGCCTTTGTGGTCTATGGCTGTCGGCCCAAGAAGAATGAAATCCTTGACCATTTTCATTTTTTCCTCATGTACTGTGATGTTGCTTATTGGTCCCACCGTAAGGACTTGAATATTCTTTCATTTAAAATTCACTAAGCCAATTTCTTACAATTGAACTTTTGGTACAGTTCTCATTTTTTTTACTCTTTGTAAATAGTGCTGTAATGAACATCCTTTTACACAGGAGAATTCTGTCTTCTGGACAGAAATTGCTGGGTTAGAGGGATGGACTTACTATAGCCAATCTGCTTTCCAGGAAGATTACATGAATTTGCCAGGTTTGAATTAAAAGAGAGAGAAAAAGACATTTTCAAAATCTTTGCCAGCTTGACAGGTGAAAGTACTGACTCATTGTTGTTACTTGGGTGGCTGGGGAAGTTTCACTGTTTCACATTTGCATTTCTCTTTTTGTAAGCCATCTATACTCTATTTGTTTTTATGTAAGTTAGTTACAGTTTTGCTAAATTTATGAAGGCTTTGGATATTCACTTGTTAGGGATATTATCCCTTTATCTAACTTACTTGGTTTTGAATTTGTGTGTGGCCCCTCTTTTCTTTTTGATGCTAGGACATTTTCAATCTCTTCTGAGAGTATAGTGTGAATTAGGATTACTCGTTTTAGGCTACAGGAGGTCTTGGCATGGACAGCTCAGGGATGGCACCAAGACAGCATGATGGTGCCAGGGACCCACTTCTTCCTTTTTGCTTTGCCACATCGGCAGACCATTTTGGTGCTTTCGGTTATTGCCTCGTGGTTGCAAGCTGACTCTGAGCTCAGAGAAGCCCTGATGGGTGGCCAGTGCGTGCCAGGGAGGTGGGGGTGGGGGTTTGGTGTGCTTAGAATGGATTACCTGTCCACTCAGTACTTTCAGGCCCGCAGATCCATTCACTTCACCAGCTTTAGTGAGTGCCCTCGGGAAGAGGGAAGTGGCTCGGAAGCTTGTGTGCACAATCTCTCAGCATAGACAGGTTGGCATGCTTTCCTGAAACCTGGCATGGGTGGGTCTCGGAGTCATTCTTAGCACACAGGAAGGCTTACTGAGCACCTGTTGGGTACCAGGCACTGTGCTGGCTCTAAATGCATTTCCTTTTCCTTTTTTTTTTTGGTGGGTCTAAATGCATTTTCAATGAGCAAAACTGTGAGGAAAGGCAGTGCAAGGCAGGAGATGGCAGCTTGGGTCTGAGTTTACTACTTGGTGATTAGGGGGAAATAACTTAACCTCTCTTGAGTTTTGAGCTCTGGTGGCTTAGTATTAAGGAGTTGAGCTGCCAACCCAAAGGCACAAGGTTCAAATCCACTAGTTGCTCCACGAAAGATGCACAGTCTCCTCCCATGCGATTTACTGCCTCTGAAAACTCACTGGAGGGTCATCCATGAGTTGGTTCCAACTTAACAGCATTGAACCACCACAGCTCTGCGCCTCAGCTCCCTTTTCTATAAAGTGGGGCAGTAACAGTACCCACTGTGTGAAGAGGCAGAGAACTAAGTTCACACTCAGCGCCTAAAGCAGGCTGGGAGTGTGGAAAACTGGCTGTGTGTGAATCCTAACAGTTCCTCAAAGGGCAAGAATCCTATTCCTGTTTTACAGATGAGGAAAACTGACACTCAAAGAGGTAAATAACTGGCTTGAGGGCCGCGGGTGCAGCCCATGGCTGCCTTGTGGTGGCAGTTCCTTCTGTCCTTAGACCCCAAGCTCCCCACACCTCTCCCATCAAGCACAGCTGATCCAGCTAATTCACCGCTTCATTTCCAGGTTGCATCAATGATCGGAAAAACCAGCTGAGGCAGCTGTTCCACTCCCTGCAAGGCCAAAAGAAAGCCTCCAGCTGATCCCAGTGCCGGGAGGAAAGAGGCCCTGGGCGGCGCCACAGGCCTCCCCTGCCCCCCTCCAGCCTGGCAGCAGCCCTGCTGGCTCAGCGGACGCTGCCCAAGCCCCCTTGCCCTCCCTTGCCCACACCTCCTCCCTGGGTGTCTATGCACCAGGAACCAGCCAATCCCTGGGCCTGGGCGAGCTGTACCCTTGCCGGACTGACTGGCTTGGCAATAGGGCTCAAAGGGGACAAATGAAGCAAGTCTTGCTCCAGGGAGATGGCATTTAATAAACGGGCACAAGCCTCCTGTAGTGTCACCGGGCCTTGCTTAAAGGTGTGTTGGTTGCAGCCTACTCATCTCCTAGCTCTTAACACTTGTTATTTCTCAGGTCAGTGCGGAAGAGCCTTCGGGAACCAGGGCTGGAGAGCTAAGAACTTACCTGTGTCTAGTTTGCCAAGCAAGCAGTTACTCGATCCTGTTTTTTATAGGGAGTCTGGCAAAGGACAGAGTTAACACACACTCCCCTCCTTATAGTGACTAGACTTCCCCCATCTGAGGAGCCCCTGACAACCAGTGGGCTCGAGAGCTCTCAGGTAGACAAGGTGAGGATGAGGAATGCAGATGTCTACGGGGGACAGAGACCCAAGGAAGCCGTCCACCCTCCTCCTGCAACAGGGGAGCTGTCGCTGCAGATGAGGGATATGGCTTGACTCAGGTGAGCACAAATGGCAGGTTTTCAGAAGGAAAACACTTGGTGAATCTTGGTATATCCAAGTGAAGCAGCGGCCCCAGGAAAGCCAGAGGTGCACCCTCTAAACCTGCCGCCGAAAGTGTGTGGGGACGTTCCCCCACCGCCCCGCCCTCTGACTGAGGCCGAACCCTCAAGAACCTCGAATAGGTTCCAAGTCTCCAGAAAAAGGGGTCTGGAAGGTGCTCCATCAGCACCCACCCCACCAGTGTTCAGAGTGGAGAAACTGTCACAACTTCTTCCCACTTAAGATGGGCAACAGTCACGAACGATTTAAGACTCAAAACCTCCAAGTCTCCTTCCCTTCTACCCGTGTGCCCCTCACCAGCCGGTTCTGCCCTGAGGGAACCAGATAGTTCATGTACAAGTGATGGCTCCCTCAGCACTGTTCCAGCCCCTCGTTTTCCTCAGTTACCAATAAGCTCGTTCCAGATTATGCTCGATTCATAGAATTCCTTTAGCTAGTTCCTTGTGGCTTGTTTCCTATTCCACCCACCTGCTTTTTAGAGAAATGTCTCATGGGAAGATACACTTCCCATAAGAAAATACCACCCGAACCATCTCAAAAAGAATGCAGTATTCTAAGCGTGGGCTGCATCTGGCTTATGGAAGGCATTCAGTTTAGCCTACACCAAAGTTTGTAAAAATTTTCTCATTATTGTTGGCAGTATTTAAGACAGGCAGCTGAATATCCAAATCCTGATTTCTAGCTCCTCTTGGAAAAAAGCAGGCACGGAGGTGAGGACATAGGTAAAGCGTGCTCTCCTCTCCAGCCAGTCACCACCCCACCACTCAGCTGTGACACGCTTGTCCCTCCCTGTGCACATCAGACTGTGTAAGTCAACCGAAATCCTGGCATTACTTCAGGGGAGAAGCCGCCCCCCACAGGTGATTTCTAAAAGCAGTGGTGTGCTCTCATAGCGGGGCCGAATGATGCTCATCTACCCGTTCATTTAGCAAGTCTTTATTGAGCCCTCACTGATGATGAACACACGTTCATGTCAGGGTAGCAGACTGGG